TTCTTAGAAACCAATTTTAGCATTCAGTGATCAATCTAGAAATAAAATACTGTATTTTTCGCTCCATAAGACACACTTTCCCCCCTCTTAAAATGTAAGGGGAAATGTCTGTGTGTCTTATGGAGTGAATGTGTGGTCCCTGGAGCCAAATTGCCGGAGAGCAGCATGCTCCTGAGCTGCTCTTTGGTGGTGGTGGGGGGGGGAGCCACGCTGCTCCGCCAACAGCCTCCGCTTCCCCCTGCAAGCCCGGTAAGGTTTGGGAACAGCAGGCAGGCAAAAGAGATCGCACAGCAAGAGGGATTGCTGCTGGCTTCAGGAATAGCTGCGCAAACCTCTTCCGCTTTGCCTTGCTTTCACTGAAGCCAGCACAGCAAGAGGGAGAGCTGTGCAGTGCCTCTTGTTGTGATGCCTTGGCCCGATCCTCTCTCCTCCTCCTCCTTCAACTACATTTGATTCAGAATATTTTTTCCTTGTTTTCCTCCTCTAAAAACTAGGTGGGTCTTATGGTTGGGTGCGTCTTATAGAGCGAAAAATACGGCAAGCCTCTTTTGGATGGTCATCTGTCTTGTATGATCTAGCAGAGATTCCTGCAGTGTGGGGGTCTCCTGGCTCTGAGAGACAAGCAGGGAGGGTGGATTCTGGCAGAAGGAGAGGGAGCCCCCGGTGGCTCCTCATTCTCCTGACTCATCTCTGTCTCTCGCCCTCCCTCTGCCCACTCACCTCCTTCCTCTTCTTGCTCTGATTCTGGACTGCATTCTGCCACAGAGTCTCCCAGCTCACTAAGCCCTGTTTCCCCTTCAGATTCTGACACCTCCTCTTCCCAGGCTTCTCCCTCTGACCGCTCATCCTTCCTCCACCTCCACTCCTTGGGCTCTGAGCCATCTTCCCTTCCTGGTTCCCTGGCTGCTTCCTCCCACCACTCCTCTGTGCCCAACCAGTCCATGACATTGCTCCATCCCTTGGCCTCTGTCCCACAAGGCAGCTTCCCCTGACCTGATCTGCTTCAACAGCCGCTGCTTCCCTTCTGCCCCCATGAAAAGGTGGATAGGGAGGTCTTGCCGGCATCATTATGTCACCTGCAAGAGAGAAAAGGTAATCAAGTTGCCAGGAGTGCCTGCTTCTCTCACAGGGGAAACAGGGCATCTCTTACTACAGATGTGCCTTTGAGAAAGCCTTACCTGCTGAGAGCATTTGGACGTTTGTGCCCATTTCATATATTTGTTTGTGCAAAAATACATCTCCCCTCCTCTGGACCCTTCTTCCCAACTGTCTCCTCCCCCAAAACAAGAACCATCAGATGAGTTGGAAAACCAACAGAATGAAACCAAATAAAGAAAAACCACCTTCCTCCTTACCCAGTGGCCTCTCTCTGGTGTCCAACGAAGGCCTCTCTGCCTCACAGGAATCCAGGTCCATTTCTGCAAAGAGATCCTTTCCCTGAGAAAGAAACAAGGATTCAAAACAGAGAATGGGGGGAAATACTAGAAAGAGAATGACAAAGACTTGAAGGGTGTGAGATCTCATTCCATGGATGCCTTCCCACAAAAAGGATGGGCCAACAATAGAGCATTATGGATTGTTTTCTGTCCTGTTTGGAGCCCCTTGGGAGTATCCAGAGGAAAGTCTCTCTCACCTGCTTTCTCTCCTCTGCCTGACTCAGGAGGAAACCTTCGGCCAGGGCCACCGCCTGGGAACTGGTCTCCGCTCCGCATTCCCTCACCCAGCTCTCCATCTCCGGAGGAAGGACAGCCAGGAACTGCTCCAAGATCACCAGGTCCAGCATCTCAGCTTTCGTGTGGCTTTCTGGCTTCAGCCACTGATGGTCAAGGTGGTAGAGTCGGCTGCAAACCTCTCGGGGTCCTTTGGCCTCCTGGCAGCAGAACTGCCTCACCTGCTGGCTCTGCACCTCTGAGCGGAGGGTGTCCTCCTCACCCAGGATCTTCTGCACAGAGTTTTCCCAGAATCCCCCACTGCACCCAGTTTGGATGTCATGGCCTCTTCCTGCTCTAGGGCCAGCTGAATCTTGCTCATCCATCTGTGCTTTCAGGAAGCCTCTGAGAGATCGGAAGGAACCCTTTGGTCTTCTGCCAAGTTCTGTCTGTCTGAATGAGAAGCTCTAGCAAATCCTACAAAGCAAATACATTGTTCAGGTACAAAAGTTGTCTAATATCAGGAGAAGAAAAAGGTTCCCTGAGCAAGCATGGATGAGTCTTGCTGGGAACTAGGGCTGGACTGCACCGCATTCCAGTCCATGAGCTATTTTATTTATTTAAATTTCTATAACACTTTATATTTTAAAGAGAAATCTCAAAGCGGTTTACAGCATATTAAATCTGTGGGGATAATTGGGGAGTTAGAAGAAGATATATTATTGAATGATATGCTTCCTAACATGCACTAGCAAGTTCCATATTCTAGTTCCATACATCCCCCTTTTTTAGATTACACAGCGATCAGCTTGTTGCTGACTCATCTGAGTCTTACTATTAAAAATTCCTTCCTGGTAAAAAGAGGAGTAAGAGGAGAAGAAATACGTCTCTAGCCTTCTAGCAATGCAAAATGTGGAGGCAACGGAAGGGATTTCTAGGAGATGAATCAGTCTGGTTTCTCCTGCCTTCCAGTCAATGCATGAAGTCAGAATTGACTGACAAGGGAGTCATTTGTATCTTGTGGAAAATGGATTCCTGGGTCTAGTGGGGGTCCTCACCCGGGGGTCCTCAGAAGGTGCTCCCCCCCACCCCCACTCCCCTGCTTCCGTCTCCTTTTCTTGCACTTGGACTCTCTGCCGCTCTCCAGGCTGACTCCTGGGTGGGGTCCCTTTTTCTTTTCTTTTTTTTAAAAGATATTTATTGAAGATTTTTAAAAATATAACAAAAAATGAAAAATAAACATACAAAATAAAAACAGTTAAAAACATCCATTAATTTCCAATAACATAACTTTCTTACTCTTATTTCCCCGGACCTCCTCATACCTCCCTTCTTTATATTCCAATTCAAATTGTTAGTTCAGCAAATCCTTACCATTAAGCCTTTACCCATTTGTGAAACCTTATTTCTTTCATATCTCTTAAATCATTACAGCTGGAAACCACTTAGTTTCTATCCAACATCCTTCTAACATTCATTAATTTTACAATATTTCTGTAAATAGTCCTTAAATTTCTTCCAGTCTTCTTTCACCAACTCTTCTCCCTGGTCTCGGATTCTGCCAGTCATTTCCGCCAATTCCATGTAGTCCATCACCTTCATCTGCCATTCTTACAAGGTGGGTAGGTCTTGTGTCTTCCAATACTTTGCAATAAGTATTCTTGCTGTTGTTGTAGCATACATAAAGAAAGTTCTATCCTTCTTTGACACCAATTGGCCGACAATGCCCAAGAGAAAGGCCTCTGGTTTCTTCAGGAAGGTATATTTAAATACCTTTTTCAGTTCATTATATATCTTTTCCCAGAAAGCCTTAATTTTTGGGCACGTCCACCAAAGGTGAAAGAATGTACCTTCAGTTTCTTTACATTTCCAGCATTTATTATTGGGCAAATGACAGATTTTTGCAAGCTTGACTGGGGTCATGTACCACCTGTATATCATTTTCATAATATTCTCTCTTAAGGCATTACATGCCGTAAACTTCATACCTGTGGTCCATAACTGTTCCCAGTCAGCAAACATAATATTGTGTCCAACATCCTGTGCCCATTTAATCATCACAGATTTCACCGTTTCATCCTGAGTATTCCATTTCAACAGCAAGTTATACATTCTTGACAAATTCTTAGTTTTGGGTTCTAACAATTCTGTTTCTAATTTTGACTTTTCCACCTGGAATCCAATTTTCTTATCCAATTTATATGCCTCCATTATCTGATAGTAATGAAGCCAGTCTCTCACTTTGTTTTTTAATGTTTCAAAACTCTGCAATTTCAGTTTGTCTCCTTCTTGTTCCAAAACTTCACAGTATGTCGGCCATTTGGCCTCCAAATTGAGCCTTTTCAAAGCTTTTGCTTCCATTGGTGACAGCCACCTTGGGGTTTTATTTTCCAACAAATCTTTATATCTTATCCAGACATTAAACAAAGCTTTCCTGACAATATGATTTTTAAATGCTTTATGAGCTTTGACCTTATCATACCATAAATATACATGCCATCCAAATACATTATTAAAACCTTCTAAACCCAAAATGTCTGTGTTTTCAAGAAGTAGCCATTCTTTCAACCAGCAAAAAGCTGCTGATTCATAGTAAAGTTTAAGGTCTGGCAGGGCAAATCCACCCCTTTCCTTTGCATCTGTCAGTATCTTAAATTGTATTCTGGGCTTCTTGCCCTGCCAGACAAATCTAGAAATATCTCTCTGCCACTTCTTAAAACAGTCCATCTTGTCCACAATTTGCAAAGTTTGAAATAAAAACAACATTCTCGGCAATACATTCATTTTTATCACAGCAATTCGGACCAACAGTGAAAGCTTCAAATTTGACCAAATTTCTAAATCTTTTTTCACTTCCGTCCAACATTTTTCATAATTATCTTTAAATAAATTCACATTTTTGGCTGTCATATTAATCCCCAGGTATTTCACTTTCTTTACCACAGTCAATCCTGTCTCATTCTGAAACCTATCTCTTTCAATCGGTGTTAAATTTTTCTCTAAAACCTTGGTTTTTAACTTGTTCAATTTAAATCCTGCCACTTGACCAAATTCTTGAATTAATTCTAAAACCCTTTTAGTACTAGATTCTGGCTCCTGTAACGTCAATACTAAGTCATCTGCAGATGCTCTCAGTTTATATTGTTTGGCTCCGACCTGTATACCTTTAACCCTTCTAATCATGTTTAGCAGGACCTCCAGGACCGATATAAAAAGCAGTGGGGAGATTGGGCACCCCTGTCGTTTCCCTTTTTCTATCTTAAATTCTTACGTAACCGCATTATTTACAATTAGTTTAGCCTTTTGTTCAGAGTATATTGCACCTATACCATTTTCAAAACCTTGGCCTACCCCCATCCCATGTAGGTTCTTCTTCATAAAACTCCAAGAGATGTTCTTTGCTTTTTCTTTGCTCTGAGGGCCAGGTATGTATCTGGCCAACCCCAGAGGGCCAAGTGGACGAGGCCAAAGACACCTCCCTTGAAATTTAGGCGGGTAATTTAGTATTAGTATTCTGTTAGATAGGTTAACACACACACACAGCCATTGATGCCAAGGTCCCTGGAGGCTCAGTGAGTAGCAGCGCCCATTTCCGGCTGCTTTGCCAGCAACAATCCCTTTGGGACAGAGAGGATGTGGTCCTGGGATGCCCTGCTCTGGGTGCGAGGGGATTGCTGCAGTGGCCTCCATGGGGAGCTGCCCTGGGAGACACTGGGAAACTGGTCCCCAATGCAGCAGCCAGACTATGGGCTGGGATCCCTCTCTTTATTCCTGGCCTTTCTCTCCCACCTTTTTTTTTGGGGGGGGGTGTTAGTGTCCACCTCCTTGTCCAGCTTTGGAAAACCATTTGCAGATGTTTCCTCTGTTGTGCAGTGAGGCTGAGCCAGTGGCGTAGCGTGGGTTGTCAGCACCCGGGGCAAGGCAAGTAATTTGCGCCCCCTAACCCGTGGATTTGCGCCCCCTAACCCATGGATTTGCGCCCCCTAACCCAAACCCCCAGATGTTGCGCCCGGTGCGGCCGACCCCCCCTGCACCCCCCACGCTACACCACTGGGCTGAACGATGTCACACAGAGTTAAAGTCCCAGGGACTCCTTTGTTTAAAGAAGGGAGATTTTTTCTGAAGGGGGGGGCGGAGGGTCAAATGAGTTTGGGATCCTCTGATCTGCAGGAAGGAGAGCGTGGCAGACCTGGCCCCTCCCTGGCAGGACCCTCTCCTCCCTGACTTGGGGTCCCCCCCCTGCAGGAGCGGATCAGCCCCCCCCTCTCCTCCCCCTGATGCAGCCCTGGGACCCCCCCCCCGTCTCCCCACTGCACCCTCTGGGGGGGGAGGGAGAGAGAGGAGACTCACCAGATCCCAGGAAGGGACAAAGAGGCAGCCCTTGCAGCAGAGACACACCAAAGCAACACCCCCCCCCTCCTTGCAGGAAAGGACTGGGGAGGGAGGGGCCTTGGCTCTGGAGGACCTGGCCCCCTTTTGTTTCCTCTCTAGGAATGCAGCTCAGTTCCCTTTAACCCTTGCAAAGCCCAGTGTGCCCAGATCTGACCCGCTGCGTTTTTCTCTCTAGCGCACATTGCACACTTCCAGAGATGCTTTTTGGGGGACGCCTCCTGCTTTCCTTCCCTGAGAGTTCTCACATAGGCTAACATTGGGCCAAGACCAGATACATTGTATCCGCTTGGAATCGACACTTTCCCTGTTCTCTCAAGGGGGGGGGGGTTTCCCACGCTTCTCCTGCAAACGGAGCTGAGCTCCTTTTCTGGCAGTTGCAATTCCCCCCTTCGCCTGTTCATAGCACTCCCTCAAGGGGGGGCTGTTTTGCTTGTCACCACCCCCCTTAAATTATTAAAAGAAGGAAAAATAAGATGCTTACAGTTGCAAGTGTTATTTTCTGGTTTATTTACTTAACATTGTGAGCAAAAGCACTCAAAACATTCCCCCCTCACTTTGTTCTCTGCAAATTTTGAAATCACGTCATCAAAATCATTTCCTTTTGCTACTTTGTTTTCAGCTGACAAGATGGCTAAGCCAGAGAGCTCAGCTTGACTCATAGTGGACCTAAGATAACTCTTGATTAATTTTAGTTTTGAAAAACTTCTCTCACATGATGTCTAGCAAGGTAAACTGAATTTTAGAATAACTATTCAGAGATTTGAATTAAGGCTCAAAGCAAACAGGAAATTGCTGTAAAAATGGCAGTATCTACTACTACTACTACTACTAATAATAATAATAATAATAATAATAATAAATTATTTATAATCCGCCCATCTGGCTGGGTTTTCCCAGCCACTCTTGGCGGCTTCCAACAAAATATTAAAATACAATAGTCCTTCAGATATTAAGAGCTCTGCTTATTTAACTTATATGCAGAATTCATCATGCGAAAGGCTGGGCTGGATGAATCCCAAGCCGGAATTAATATTGCCGGAAGAAATATCAACAACCTCAGATATGCAGATGACACAACCTTGATGGCAGAAAGTGAAGAGGAATTAAAGAACCTTTTAATGAGGGTGAAAGAGGAGAGCGCAAAATATGGTCTGAAGCTCAACATCAAAAAAACGAAGATCATGGCCACTGGGCCCATCACCTCCTGGCAAATAGAAGGGGGAGAAATGGAGGCAGTGAGAGATTTTACTTTCTTGGGCTCCATGATCAGTGCAGATGGTGACAGCAGTCACAAAATTAAAAGATGCCTGCTCCTTGGGAGAAAGGCGATGGCAAACCTAGACAACATCTTAAAAAGCAGAGACATCACCTTGCCAACAAAGGTCCGTATGGTAAAAGCCATGGTTTTCCCAGTAGTGATGTATGGAAGTGAGAGCTGGACCATAAAGAAGGCTGATTGCCGAAGAATTGATGCTTTTGAATTATGGTGCTGGAGGAGACTCTTGAGAGTCCCATGGACTGCAAGAAGATCAAACCTCTCCATTCTGAAGGAAATCAGCCCTGAGCGCTCACTGGAAGGACAGATCGTGAAGCTGAGGCTCCAATACTTTGGCCACCTCATGAGAAGAGAAGACTCCCTGGAAAAGACCCTGATGTTGGGAAAGATGGAGGGCACAAGGAGAAGGGGACGACAGAGAATGAGATGGTTGGATGGTGTTCTTGAAGCTACCAGCATGAGTTTGATCAAACTGCGGGAGGCAGTGGAGGACAGAAGTGCCTGGCGTGCTCTGGTCCATGGGGTCACGAAGAGTCGGACACGACTAAACGACTAAACAACAACAACAAAACAGTATTTACCTTTTAGGCTGTGTGCCTGTTTCAGCAATTCACATAAGCCTCTAGTAAAAATATCATTTATGGAAATAGCAGGAGTTATACAAATGGGTCTTACTCAAATGTGTCAGAAAGCTACTTTGCAACTACTCACTTCTAACCTAGGATTGCATCCTCTGCAAAGAGAGCAGCTTCAAACCTTGTTGTTGTTTAGTCGTTTAGTCGTGTCCAACTCTTCGTGACCCCATGGACCAGAGCGCGCCAGACACTCCTGTCTTCCACTGCCTCCCGCAGTTTGATCAGATTCATGTTTGTAGCTTCGAGAACACTGTCCAACCATCTCATCCTCTGTTCTCCCCTTCTCCTTGTGCCCTCCATCTTTCCCTTTCTGCCATCAAGGTTGTGTCATCTGCATATCTGGGGTTGTTGATATTTCTTCCGGCAATCTTAATTCCAGTTTGGGATTCATCCAGCCCAGCCTTTCGCATGATGAATTCTGCATATAAGTTAAATAAGCAGGGAGACAATATACAGCCTTGCCGTACTCCTTTCTCAGCACCAGTAGTTGGTGCATAAACTTGGATTACTGTGATGTTAAAAGGTCTGCCTTGGATTCGTATCGAGATCATTCTATCATTTTTGAGATTGCATCCCAGTACAGCTTTTGCCACTCTTTTGTTGACTCTAAGGGCCACTCCATTTCTTTTACGGGATTCTTGCCCACAGTAGTAGATGTGATGGTCATCCGAACTAAATTCACCCATTCTCGTCCAATTTAGTTCACTGATGCCCAGGATGTCAATATTTATTCTTGCCATCTCATTTTTGACCACATCCAACTTACCAAGGTTCATGGTTCTTACATTCCAGGTTCCTATGCAATATTTTTCTTTACAGCATTGGACTTTCCTTTCGCTTCCAGGCATATCCGCAACTGAGCGTCCTTTCGGCTTTGGCCCAGCCGCTTCATCAGCTCTGAATCTACTTGTACTTGTCCTACGCTCTTCCTCAGTAGCATGTTGGACGCCTTCCGACCTGAGAGGCTCATCTTCCAGCGTCATAACTTTTATATGCCTGTTGTCTTTGTCCATGGAGTTTTCTTGGCAGGGATACTGGAGTGGCTTGCCAGTTCCTGCTCCAGGTGGATCACGTTTGGTCAAAACTCTCCACTATGACCTGTCCATCTTGGGTGGCCCTTCACGGCATAGCTCATAGCTTCTCTGAGTTATTCAAGCCCCTTCGCCATGGCAAGGCAGTGATCCATGAAGGGCACTTCAAGCCTATCTCCCTACTAATAGAACCACCTTGTGCTAGTTAATGTCACCCTGTACAGCAGCTGCACCTGTGTTCATTGACCTGACGCTGAAGTCCACAAAGTACCATATTTTTTCATGTATAAGACGCCCCCATGTATAAGCCCCCCCCTACTTCTGGGGACCCCAAATTTAGAAACTGGGCATATGCACTATCCGTGTATAAGACACCCCCACATTTTTAACCTTAAAATAAAAAACCCTAGTCTTATACACGGAAAAGTACAGTGATTAGTACTTCAGTACTTAGCAAGTAAAGTAAAGTAAAGCACCAAGGACTTCATGCCTCTGTAGACTAATTGTCATACCCAAGAAAAATAAACTCTATACATTTACTTGAAAATTGCATGCCTAATGGTAGCATAAATGATTTCGGTGATGCCCCCCAAGTTACTCCAATTGAGGGTCTAAATACAGTGGTACCTCGGGTTACAGACGCTTCAGGTTACAGACTCCACTAAACCAGAAATAGTACCTTGGGTTAAGAATTCCATCCAAAAAATGGGGAGGGGAGATTTCTTTAGCTTTACTTGTTTTTGAGAAAGCTTTTAACCCAGGGGTTGGCAACCTGCCCACGGAGGTAGTTTAAATCACCCACGAGCCGCCCCCCAAATCGAGCTGCCCACGAAGCAAGTCCCCGTGCACTGTGCTAAACCCACACAGCGTGGAGTGGGGACTCACTTCCGCGGCACCAGGAATCGTCTGTGCAGATGCTATCTGGCCCACGGAGCAATCTCCAAGGAAGTGAACCGGCCCAGGTGAGGTAAAACTTGCTGACGTGTTTTAACCTGTATGTTAAATTTAGGCGGGTAATTTATTATGAT